GAGTTAGGGAGGGGACAGGTCAAGGGGGCGGGATGAGGTTAGTAGGTAGGAGATGGGGGTGCGGCTTGAGGTGGGAGGAGGGGATAGGTGGGAGGAAGGACAGGTTAGGGAGGCGGGGACGAGCTGGGGTGGTTTTGGGATGCGGTAGGGGGAGGGGAGATTTTGAAGCTTTTGAAATCCACATTGATACCATTGGGCTGCAGGGTTCCCAAGCGGAATATGAGTTGCTGTTCCTGCAACCTTTGGGTGGCATCGTTGTGGCACTGCAGGAGGCCCAGGATGGACATGTCGTCTGAGGAATGGGAGGGGGAGTTGAAATGGTTCGCGACTGGGAGGTGCAGTTGTTTATTGCGAACCGAGCGTAGGTGTTCTGCAAAGCGGTCCCCGAGCCTCTGCTTGGTTTCCCCGATGTAGAGAAAGCCACAGCAGATGCAGTATACCACATTGGCAGATGTGCAGGTGAACATCTGCTTGATGTGGAAAGTCTTCTTGGGGCCTGGGATGGGGGTGAGGGAGGAGGTATGGGGGCAGATGTACCACTTCCTGCGGTTGCAGGGAAAAGTGCTGGGTGTGGTGGAGCTGGAGGAGAGTGTGGAGCGGACAAGGGAGTCACAGAGAGAGTGGTCCCTCCGGAAAGCAGATAAGGGTGGGGAGGGAAAGATGTCTTTGGTGGTGGGGTCGGATTGCAGATGGCGGAAGTGTCGGAGGATGATGCGTTGGATCCAGAGGTTGGTGGGGTGGTACGTGAGGACGAGGGGGATTCTTTTTTGGTTTTTATTGTGTGGACGGGGTGTGAGGGATGAGTTGCGGGAGATGTGGGAGACACGGTTGAGGGTGTTCTCGACCACTGAGGGGGGGGAAGTTACAGTCCTTGAAAAACGAGGACAACTGAGATGTACGGGAGTGTCCCAAAATCAATGTGGATTTCACAAGCTTCAAAATCTCCCTTCCCCCTACCGCATCCCAAAACCAGTCCAGCTCGTCCCCGCCTCCCTAACCTGTTCTTCCTCCCACCTATCCCCTCCTCCCACCTCAAGCCGCATCCCCATCTCCTACCGACTAACCTCATCCCGCCCCCTTGACCTGTCCATCCTCCCTGGACTGACCTATCCCCTCCCTAACTCCCCACCTACACTCATCTTTACTGGCCCCGCCTCTTCGACCTGTTTGTTTCCTCTCCTCTATCCATCTTCTATCCGCCTCCCACTCTCTCCCTATTTATTTCAGAACCCCCTTCCCCTCCCCCTTTTCTGATGAAGGGTCTAGGCCCGAAACGTCAGCCTTTCTGCTCCTATGATGCTGCTTGGCCTGCTGTGTTCATCCAGCCCTGCACCTTGCTGTCTCAGATTCTCCAGCATCTGCAGTTGCTACTATCTCTGATTCACATTTCAAACGTGTGCAGGTTTCAGGGGAAAACTGGAAGCACCAACTCTGCTTCTGCAAAGAACAAAGTCATCTTTGGAATTTTCTAAACCGTGTTCGTGACTCTTATGGGGTGCAAAGTTACATTTTAATCTTCAGAGATAGTAAGAACTGTAGATGCTGGAGTCAGAGAACACAGTGTGGAGTTGGAGGAACACAGCAGGCTAGGCAGCATCATAGGAGCAGGAAAGTTGATGTATCGGGTCGAGACCCTTCTTCAGGGTCTGTGTCTGAGTTGAGAGGTGGTTCTTCAGGGTCTGAAAAAGGGTCCCAACTCGAAACGTCAACTTTCCTGCTCTTCTGATGCTGCTGTGTTCCTCCAGCTCCACACTGTGCTGTCTCTGCATTTTAATCATGTTCTATTCGGAGTTAATTGTGAATCCTTTTTACAACATTAAAACCAGATTGAAAATGTAGAACAAAAACAGAGTCGTGTTTCAGGTATAGAATGAATATGACGAAGTGTCAATCCCTAAAACTGTTATCTGAGGAGCAAATTACTGCAGATGCTGGAATCTGTACAGAAAACAAAAAATGCTGGCGATCAGGTCAGGCAGCATCCACGCTAACATTTCGAGTCTAGATGACTATTAACTGAGTTTGTCTTTTTAAAATGCATTCGTCCATTTGAAGATAAGGGGGCTGTCACTGGAGCACTGACTGGAAAGTAACTTTATCCCAACCGGTGAAGAAGCATAAACTCTAATTTCCTATCTTACACCAGTAATTCAAAAGTACATCACTCCGTAAAGTGCTTTGTGACATCTTAAGGTTGTGAAAAGGTGCAATACAAATGCAAATTATTTATTTTATTCAAAGAAGTAAAAACTTCCAAATCCAATGGCAATATTCTGAGGACTCACTGGAACCAAACTGCAGACAGAAGGGATCTAAAAACAGGCCCATCAGCCTGTTCCCTAATCAATCCTTTCCCTCATTGTTTTATGCAGCTATGTTAGGAGTCTGGGGAGGGGGTGAGGCTGGACTCCCTGCCTATTCATGGTGGATAGCTGACACGGCCTGTAGATAAGGGGCACTTTATAAGGGGAATTAAAGTAGGCCAAATAGGACTTTATGGGGTTTGGTGAATTAACCACCTCTCAACTCAGACCTCCCCACCACCATCCTCCTCAGTTATTGAGTCAAGGTGAGTCAAGATGTTTGTAACTTTTCCATCTCCATTTGAATCTGAACCAAGTTTCAAATCCATATGCTTCCCATATTGCAAAATCTGCCTGTGTTTACATATGCAATGTCACTAACTTCCATCTATATCCCAACGTATCTGCCCTTGAAACTATTAACCATGATTTAACTATTCCATGTTTTGTTGGTTTCCCATCATCAAGTAAATTTCAGTTTGCAGTACAGAATCCAAGGAGATTGACTCATTGATGATGGAAGGTATTGCTGAAGTAGCCCTAATGAACTGCAACAGTGCATATCATTTATGTTAATGCTATCAAGCATCAGAGATATTAGAAAGTGAATCCAGTGTCAAGAACACTGATCAAGTGGACTGTTATGTACAGGATGCTTTGAATTTAGACAGTGTTGCAGAGGCTGCACCTACCCAGGTGACAAGGGAATAGCATCACACTCCTGACCTGCAGTTTGTATGTAATGGAGAGACCCGAGGGATTAAAAGGTTCACCACAGCATGGATATTTGGCCTTTTCCCTGCTCTTGTAGCTGCAATGTTGATAAGTCTAGTCAAGCTCAGCCTCTATGGTCACTGACCTCCAAGAAGCTGTTGTAGGCTAATGCATGCTGGTTCATTAGAAAAAAATGGCTTGAGCACTGGAATTATCAGTGACTGCTGCATTTTCAACATTACAAAAGAAACAAAGAAAGAACATTGTTAAAATACCTGGTTGGGATGGATTGAGGAAGGAAGAACTGAAGCAATAAAATACTGGACGTGTGTCCACTGCAACCATCTTCTTTTGTCAGTTATCACTTCTGCCCATGAAAGTTTTGCCTTTCCACCACAACAGCACTTCCTCCACCTCTCTCGTACCCCATCCCAAACATTACAACCATGCACTTGACTTTGTTTTTGCTAAGTTTACTTGATGCTCCACTGACTACATTGTTGCATTTATGTCAAGAGCAGCTACTCTCGCCTCTTCTCTGGCCTCCATCCATTTCTTCCACATCTGCGACAATGCTGTGAAGAGGTATTCATCAGTGAGGTTCTGACAGAATCCAAACTGAGTATTATTGGACACATTATTGATGAGTAGGTGTCCCTTATTATTTCCACATACTCAAAGACTTAGAGAAGGCTGATAGTGTAGAAACACCTTATGCTAGATTTGTCGTATTTTTGATGCATAAGACATACCCAAGCAGTCTTCCACTTTGTCGGTAGAAGTTGATATCATAGCTGTACTATTAGTTTGCATAGAGGAAATCTTCTGGACCATAGTTAAGATGCTTCATGATGGTGTATTTTATTAGTGATATTTTATATTCACCACACCAAATCACAGATTCCCTTCATATCCACGTGTACATTTTGCAAAGGGATTTCAAGATGGCAATCAGGACCAGGAACCCCAGCTGATTGTTGCCTCTTTAATTCGGTGGTGATGAGACTCAATCAATACACCATACCACCATTGGCTGAGAATAGCATCCCAACACAGCTTTGGGATTGAATCAGTAGTCTTCCTGGTCTGTTTGGTCAACCGTAATTTCAGGCAGCAAAATGAATAAGTTCTAGTAAGTGTCCTCTGCCTTTAGGCTCCTTTCTTTAAAAATAACTGTTTACAGGTCATGAATTGTTACTGGCAGGGCCGTGTCTACTTTGTGTGGCACAGCCACAGTGTGGTAGGGAGGGTGTACTATGATCTTCACCCAGTGACAGTGAAATAGTGATTAGAACTTGCAGGTAGGGGTATTCCCTGTTGCCCGTGGCTTTTAAGTGGTCGAAGGCATAGATTCGGAAGATGCTGTTGAAGGTGCTTTGGCCAGTTCCTGCATTGGAATTTGCAGATTATAGTACACACTGTCACTGCGTCTTTCCTTGGTGCAGATCGTTTGCAATGGAACTAAGATATTTCAGGTGGCGCTGCAAGTGAAGGAATGGCTCCTAAAAAGGACGGCGAGTCGCGTACTGAAGATAGGTTCCACCAGGCGGCGCTGTAAGTGGAGGAATGGCTCCCTGCCACGACAAGTGTGTGCTGAAGACGGGCCCCTGCAAGCGGCGCTGTGGGGCAGTGTTTTCATCCCAACAAATTAAATGATCACAAATGTGCTGACCGTTGTAACTGGCGTCGTCCAATGAGTACTGAAATGTTAAAAATTGCCTCATAAACGTGAAGAGAGATTCAGCGCAATCACATTTAAGAAAATAACATTGTTGGCAGGGGTCAAATCAGCTCTTAATGCTTTTCTAAGCTACTGCGATGGCTTTATTTGTCGGCCGCGTGGCCTAATGGATAAGGCGTCTGACTTCGGATCAGAAGATTGCAGGTTCGAGTCCTGCCGCGGTCGAAATTTTTTCCAGTTGATTAGAATTCTTTTTTCTCCAAAACCCGAATTATATGTATCAGTGTAAAGAATAACATCAGGACAGGCTAAGATCGTGGAATTTTACATTTTCTATGTCTCTCACTTTTTAGTCCTCGAGCCCTGCCTTTTCCCAAACCCTTGTACATGGTTTTATTTTCCAGTATATGTTTACTGCCTTTGCTGAAAGTTATTATGATTTTATTATTATTATTGTATTGATGGTGACATTCTATTTCTGACAACGTTATGCACAAAACAAATTCTTCTACTGTTTCCCTGCATTTGTTGCAACGGCTAAAGAAGCTGAGGCTGCCCTGAAGACGTTTCATAGAGACATTTCGTAGTAGCTTTATAAGTCCACATAGTTTTTACGAGACCAAAACGTTATGTGCACACAAATTAGTAGCATGGGTAGGTGATTCAGTCTGTAGCCTGTTCCTCCATTCAAATGTTTAATGGATGATCAGATTGTGTCCTCATCTCTACTTTCCCACCTATCCCTGACATCCATTGACTCCCCAATGAAGTCTGCCCTTAAAGTAGTCAATGACCTCACATCTACTACTCTTTGGAGAAAAGAGTTCCAAGGGCTTGTGACCCTCTAAGAGACAAAAAGATATCCACCTCATCTCCATCTTAAATAGGAGACCCCTTATTTTTAAGCTGTGTCTCCCAGTTCTAGTCTCTCCCACAAGGGGAATCAATTTTTTTAGCATCCACCCTGTGAAGCATCTTCAGAATCTTAAATGTTTCAGTAAGATTATGTCTCACTCTTCTAAACTCCATTGAAGCTAGTCCAGCCTGTCCAATCTTTCCTCATTAGAGAAGACCCCAACTTCGTTGAGGGAATCTTCTCCAAATTGCTTTCTTAAATAAGGAGACAAAAACTATGCTCAGCACTCAGAAATGGCTCCATTAGTACTCTATCCAACTGTATCAAAAGGTCCCTGCATTTCTATTCCATTCTCCTTCTAATAACTGGCAACATTCCATTTGCCTTCTTGTACCTTTTGGTTTATTTACAGGATACCCAGGGTCTCTCTGTACCTCTGAGTGCAATCTTTCTACATTTAAATAACATAGTGCTTTTCTATTCTTCCTGTCAAAGTAGACACAATCATACTTTCAGCATTTATACTCCATTTACCATTTGATTTTTTGCCCATTCACTTAACTATATACCTTTGCTGGCTATTTATGCCCTCTTCACAATTTATCTTTCTACCTGGAGTAGGAATTATAACCAATAACAACTGCAGATAATGAATCTTATTACCCAGGAAACAGGGAGAAACCAGCCAGTCTGTAAACAACACAGCATGAAACAGTAGCAGCAGCAAAGGGAGCAACATCTATATCTTAAGACTGGAACGTAAAACACTGCTCCTTTTCAAATTTACCAGTATAGAAGACTGACCTAGTAGTAAGTCTATTAGTAACTAACAATATGACCCTACTGAAAAATCCACCACTTTGAGGGAATCCTGTTTATGCATAAATTTGGTTATTGAGTCCTCCCAACTATGCTTCAAGAGTGGAAAAACAGTCGTATTTCACCAGGCCTGCACTGAGATGAACTAATCACATTTTTAACAAATTGTTCCTTTGTTCATACCTTATACAAGTGCTCTATCAACATTTCTTTGACAGTGTGTGTGTGCGTAGTGAGTGAATAGCTCCACGTTAGATTTTTAAGGTGAACATGCCAATATATAACCCCCTTTATTTAAACCCTTGACAATTTTGCTGGAGGTAATTCAAACTGACCGCACACTAAGGGATTAAGAAACAAACAAGGCTTGCTTTATAAAAACACACAGATTATGGACAGAATGGAAAGAGAACAGGAGTTTCTGTTCTGTCTCATACTTGACTGTAACAGGACATTCATTAGCAACAAAACCAGAAATTGCTGAAAAAAATTCAGCAGGTCTGGCAGCATCTGTGAAGAGGAATCAGAGTTAACATTTCAGATCTAGTGACCCTTCTGCAGAACTGATGGTAGCTAGAAAAATGTTAGTTTTTATGCAGAAGATAGAATGGGGGGAGGTGTGAAGAAATAAATAACCGGTGGAAATAGAGCCCAAAGAGAGAGCTGAACAGTTGGACAGGCAAAGGAGTGAATAACAATCAGCCTGGGAAAATGAAGTACTACTAATGGGGATAATTAGTGGCTAACAATGGGTTGTGTGTAATAGCAGACCTTGTGACAACAAGGCCTGCTGTGTGGGGGTTGGGGTGAGGACATGGGAGAAGTTACCTCAAGCCCTAAAATTGTTGAACTCGATATTGAGACCAGACGGTTGCAGAGTTTCCAATGAGGTGCTGTTCTTCCAGCTTGCGCTGAGCTGTTCTGGAGCACTGCAGCAAGCCTCAGACAGAGATGTGGGCCAGGGAACACAATGGTGTGTTAACGTGGCAGGTAACTGGAAGCTCAGCGCCTTTTTTGCAGACAGAATGTAGGTGTTCTACGAAGAGGTCACTCAGTCTATACTTTGTTTCCCTACTGTAGAGGAAACCACAATGTGAGAGGGGAAACAGTGGACTAGATTGAAGTGCAGGTGAAGCGCTGGGAGTGAAGGACCAAGGTGTCCCAGAGGGAATGGTCCTTGAAGAAGGCAGACGGGGAAGGGAGGGGAATATGTGCCTGGTGGTGGCATCCTGCTGGAAGTGGCAGAAATGGTGGCTAATGATCATTTGGCTGTGGATACTGGTGGGATGGAAGGTGAGGACAAGGGGACTCTATGATGTTGTGGGATGGAAAAAAGGGGGTGAGGGCTGAAGTGCGGGAGAAGGATTGGATCCAGCTGAGAGTCCTGTCAACTATAGTGGTGGGGAATCCTCGGTTGAGGAAGAAGGTGTACGTTTTGGAGGCCCCCTTGTCAAAGTTGGCATCATCAGAACAGATACGATGGAGACAGAGGAACTGGCAGAATGGAATAAAGTCTTTACAGGAAGCAGGGCGTGAGGCTGTATAGTCAAGGTAACTGTAGGGGTTGGTTGGTTTGTAGTGGAAATATAAAAATAGATGTTGAGAAAGGGAAGGTGAGGAGTCAGAGATGGACCAGGTGGAGGTTAAAGTGAAAGATTCATTAGTGTCACTAAAATAAAACTTGCCAAAGTGGTGTATTACCGATTGTTTTCTTCACAGCAAAATAACAAAGAGGCATATTTGTTTTAATCCTTGCTGTTATTCTGTATTCATTTATTGACCATTCCTGCTCACTGCTTTATTTCATCTGCTTGCAGTATTTACATAATGTGTAAAGAATCTTGAGTAAACTTGAAATTATCACACCTGTCACACTTCATTCAGAAAACTGCAGCATACATTTCTACTCATCAGGAACTACAGCACAGAAGATCTGCTGGTGCATGCTATATATTAATATACAATTTGAGTCTGATCATTTCAAAAGATTAGCAAAGTGAGTTTTTTTTAAATTGTACTTTAGAGGAGCATCAGGAAATATGCTGGGTAAAATTTCGACAAGGTACAAAAGAAATGCGCAGATTAGATACAAACCAAAGGAAAGTGAGTTGCTTCTTTCAAATACGATTTCATGCAAGAATATGAATAACATATGAACCTAAGGAAAAACAAATGGAATATTAAGTTTTGCTGGGACCACTGGAAATAAATTCCACTTGTTTCTCATGGGTACCATATAAGCCAGTGCCTGACTGGTCTGGTCTGCTCCGTACCATTTGTTTTCCTGTTGTTCCAGGGATTGACGCACATGTTTTAATGTTTTCAGAAGCTCTTTGTTCTGTCTCAATAGTAATTCCCTCTCTTGCAAGGCCATATTTCGCTCCCTTCTGGCCACATCCCGCTCCCTTTCAGTGAAGACAAACTCATTTTCCAAATCCTGCAGTCTAAAAGCCATTAAATATAGGTTAATTTTGTTAAATAACATTTATTCCTGACCTGCCCCATCCCACCACACACACACATACCCACATATGCACACATGCAGATACACACACACAAAGAGCAAAATTTTCTCCCTTTCCAACAGGTGCTGTTACATGGTAGGGTACAATCTCAAAGGCATTGGATATCTTGCTCAAGTATCAATTCTTAATGTGCAAGCTCGTGGAATGAGGGGTCACATTTATTAATTTGGTAGTTCCAAAAGAAAAGCACAAGTAATGTTTTCCTACTGTTAAAATCCTGTGGTAACATGACTGCTACCCAGGACCAGTGAGAAATGGATGGGTACAGAATCTCCTTTGGAGGGGTGGTGGAGGGGGTAATGAATTTAGTGGGTAAAGATCAGGATTGTGGTGAGGTTGCACAAGGTTTGCTTGCGGGCTGCAGAGGAGTCCATGACTGGGTTAGATTACAATAAGTAATCAACTTAATATAGAACTGTTGACTTTTTCACAGCAGTTCATGACATTTTGATCATAAAATGTTCCAGACCACCAGCTTGTAGCATTTCAGAATAGTAAGATATATATTATTGTCCATGTGTGATTGTTGGATGGGGACCTGATGGGACTTGACTTTGATTCTTTCAAAGAACAGCATGGCAGAAATGTATCGAGTTCAAGCTAATTGTCTGTTTTGCACTCCATCCAATTTTACACTTCACTGATTTGAAAAACTGAGTGTACAGTCCAGGCACAAACATATAGATTAGCTATTTGAGCGTAGATTTGGGACCAGCTATTAATGAATGGCCATGGAATTGGATCTCTGAGATAATTAATGCTTCCAGAGAAGTTGTGAAAAAAAGGGAGAAAAAGTAAATGCAAGATAATTGATATCATGACTAGAAGTTATATGCTATCCATAACTGAATTTACTTTCTTTAGTTGACAATGAAATCAGAATCTCCCTCAAATTATTTATGAATTGACCAAATGTCTAACATTAAATTCTAAGAACTTGGAATTCTGTTTTTTGAATATATTTTAGAATGGAGCACCACAGTATACATTTCAGGATTAAACCATTGTATGTCGAAATCTGCATTTTGTCATTTCATATCAGTGAGAAGTAAGTGTTGGTGTTAAGAAATGACTTAATGTTATGTGGAATATGACAGAACTGTTGTGCCAAGGAAGGGAACCAGCTAAGGATGAATAATACAGGATTCAGGTTTAGGGAACACATCAGCAGTTTTGATTGAATTACTTTTAGCAGAACGAAGGACATTTGTGCAACTTGTGCAGAATGCAAAAAGGCTTGGAATGGAGTCAGTGTTAGGGTATATAATTGAGGGGTTGGGATTGTTAATTGTATACTAACTGTGTTTAATTGTATCCAGGTGATGGGCATTAATTGTGAATTCACTTGTGTTCATTTGTATAGGCAATAAAGGTTGTTGAGGTTAGAAGATGCATGCTTGTAATGTGTGTTGTTATAAAGGGTGTTGAGATCAGCTTCAGTTCTACCCTTCACACCTGGCTTTCTGGTTTGTAACAAGAATATTTTCAGTGATAGGATACTGCCAATGATGGGAGTTGCAGTAGTGTCTGTGATATGATTAATAGGTCTAACTGTCTTTTCCTATTTAAATTGGATCAGATACTCCAGGGAGTGATTATTTCCAGAACCAGATAACTGAAGAAAAGAACAGATGCTGAATGGTATGCTGAGTACTTCCAGCATTTTTCTTCCTAACTTCTTAAAAATACTGTTAGTGATCAACATTTTTTTTTAAATAAGATTGTTTAAATGTTGTATTAAACATAATGTTATTATGAACTTGTAAAATTGAATAGTTGTAAATAACTTTAATTGGAAGCATATTTAATGGTGTTGACTTAACATCATCAAAGCCCTACTGGTGTAAATATAACAATATGCTGTTATGTTACCGCAGTAAATATTCTCTCTTCATGTCTTCAAGTGTTCTTTGGAGGGTAAGTGACTCCTCCATGTAACCCTTCTCTAGTTCCTGCTCCAGTGTCTGCATTTGATTCCATAGTTTGCTTTTATTACCAGAATCTTCCTGCTTTGCTGTAAATGCACAAACATAATTTTTTTGACACTTTTCTTCAGCCAACTCAAGTAAATTTTTGTAGTCACTAACATCTATGGAAAAGGCAAAATGTGAAAGTAGAATTATCAAGAATGTTCAACTCTTGAGTTAATGAGATGAGTGATAGAGAAATTGACACTAGGAAAATGCTTAGTCATGTGTTTGGTGATCTTTTGTTTATCTAGACAGGAATGTTTTGTGCTGTTTAGGTGTTAGTACCACTGACTCTGATCCTATTAGTCTCTGGAGCAGACAGTTGTGGGCTTAAGGCACAGTCCAGGGCTGGACCTTCTGTCAGCTTGGTTGTCATTTTGTTGCAGCACTGAGTGCTGCAATGTTGGAGGCACCAGCTTTTATATAAAATGATAGAATTCTATTGTGGTAATTCAGGTGGCTATTACAAGTCCTATTACAAGTCCCATTACATTAGGCAAGAAAAGGGCCAGGAAATGTTCTGTGTAACATGCCGCCCACAACAAATGCCATCAACAATAGATTTAAGTGATTATTCACTTCAATGCTGTAAGTGGCACCTGCTGTGAGTAAAATAGCTACTATACTTACCCACATAATAATGGTCACTGAATCCTTATCTGTGCATTAGATTGGGAAATATATTAATGAAGTCAATGCTCCTCAGGAATTTGTCTTATTTCCTTGGGTATTGAATGCACCATTTTATGTACCCTTTATTCTTGCTACATAGTTGCTTTCTCAAAATAACTGGTACAATGTACTGGTATCTAATCTATCAATGCCTTAAGATTGTTCACCTTTTGCCTCCCTCACCATTCCTGTCCTTGTAAAACTAACAGGCTAACCTTTAAATTGTTTCCACGCATCTGTTTAAATCCTATTGCTGTATTCGGACTGGACATTGTTTCACTTGCTTATTACAAACTTGACTTGTCACAGCTTGCAGATGTAGATGGTGACCACAAATTCAGGGATCCGTTGATCACTTTTTAACATATTTCCAACATTTTTGGATCTCTTGACTCTCCTACAGGTGTTCATCCAACTGAAACCCATTGACCTTATCTAAAGTTCGAGAGGCACTATGACTACCACCTATTAATCAACATTAACCAATCACAAAGAGCAATGCCTACTGTCAGTTTGATAGCAAATGTCAACATCTGACTTGGCTGTTAATGGGAACACTGTCTGCCTGTCTTATGAGCCAGAAGAAGGTTGCAGATTGGAGATAGGGTGAGTGAGCAAAAATATGGCCATTAGAGCATAATGTGGGAAAGTCTCAAATTGTTCACTTTAGAATATAGAACAGTACAAGCCCTTCGGCCCACAATGTTGTGCCAACTTTGGTAGGAAGAATTTTTTAAAATCGGCGTATCCTCTAGTTGAGTAATAACTGCAGAATTCCAAGGTGCAGAGGGACCTAAACAAGGGCAAACAATAGGTATTGGCTTAGATGTGACACTGGAATTTGAAACTCGGACAGATCTGACATGATCTTATTTAATGGATCAAAGGGCTGAATGTCTTATTTCTGTTCATAATTTCTATGTTTGTGGATTGTGAGTTTGATTCTTCTCTCTGGCGATTTTGAGCATGGAATTTAAACTGTTGCTCTAATGTGCCAATTATGGATCAGTTGGTAATGCTGTCACTTCTGTATCAGATGGTTGTAGGTTCAAATCCCAGCTCATCACTGGAGAGGGAAAAGATGAAAGCTGATTCTCCAGTGTAGCACCAAGGGGATGTTTCACTGCTAGAAGTGCTATATTAAACTGGACCAAATATCGCATGGTACGATTTTGAGCAGGAGCAAGGAAATTCTCTTTCAATGAATTTAACTAACCAGTTCATCTCTTAATCAGGACAATCTGGTCACTGGTGTTATTGTGGGAGCTTGCTGTGTATAAATTGACTGCTGTATTACAACAGTAATTGCACCTCAAAGTACTTAAATTGAATGTATAGCCCCCTGAGACTATGAAAGGTGCTGTATAAATGGAAGACTTTTTCTTTTAATATGTTGAAGAAGAATCCAGAAAAAATGAAGTTAAATTATAACTGATCTATGCACAATTTAAAAGTTTGCTTTTTAAATTTGTTAACAGTATATAGTTACCACTGGCTAGCCCAGTATTTATTTCTTATCTTCAGTATTTTTTAAAAAAAAAAAGCAGTGGTGAGTGTCTTATTGAAATGCTGCCATCCTTATCGTGTCAGTACATTCGGGAGGATTTTCACCCAGTGACAGAACAGCAATTATAGTTCCAAACCAGCATGGTGTGTGACTTGGGGAGGAGCTTGCAGGTGATGGTGTTTCCAAGCATCTGCCTTTTTGTCCCTCTGGTACAAGACAAAGGTCTGGGAGGGTCAGTTGAAGTAGCATTGTCAAGTTACTGCAGAGGACCATGTAGATGGTATGCACTCGTTCTAGAACATTCAGTGGTGGATAGAGTGAATGTTGAAGTGGCGGATGGGGTACTACTTAAAAAGACAGGTTTGTGCTGAATGATGTCCAGCTTCTTGACTGTTGTTCGAGCTGTAATGATCATGACAAGTGGGGAGTATTCTATCACTGACTATGCTTTGTAGATGGTGTACAGGCTTTTAGGAGTGAGGAGGTGATTTACTCACCGTAGACTTCCCAGCCTCAAATGTGCTCTTGTGAACATAGTATTTTATATAGCTGGTCCATTTCAGTTTCTGGTCAATAGTAACCCCCAAAATGTTGTTAGTGGGGGATTCAGCAATGGTAATGCAATTGAATTTTATTTTGAGACTTCTTTTCAGTGATTAAAACACTGTCATTTGTCAGCCTGTCTGATTTCCACGTGAGTAAAAAAGAAACTGTTCATTTAGTTGAAGTTGATTAAAGATAAATGCATGTGGATATCAGACATAGACAGAGATGAGCCATACTGTTCATTCCAGTTTAGTTTTTCTGATCTTAGCATCTGTCCACCTCTTCAAATAATGTAATTTCAGCATTAGCTTGGCTCAGATGATTGTATTCTAGCTTCTAGATGCAGGGTTGTGGGTTCTGTCCCCTGTTTTAGTATTAAAACATATAAACATACAATCTACACTGACACTGTGCTGGTACTGAAGGAGAGCTGTTTTTCATGAGACATTTAATCAAGGTGTCAATAAATGGTCTAAGTCACTGTTAAGGATCCCCCAGTATGATTCACAAGAGAAGGAAGTTCTCCTGAGGTCTTTGCCATTTTCTCCCTCAACCAATACTTAAAAATCACTTATTTCATTGGTATTTGTGAGATGTAGTTGTGATTTTTTTTTAAAAAAAGGCAGTGTGTTGGCCTAATAATTGCTGGACTTCATTACAAGTGAAGTACTTTAAGATATGCTAAGATACTATAGAAATGCAAGTCGACTCCAAGTGTTGACCATAGTTTGTTGAACTTGCTGCCTTCTAAGATGGCTGCAGAGTAGGACTCCTCCTGAGCTGGAGCTTGTCTGCTCTGTCTTTTTTTCCCCTTTTCTCTCTGCGCTCTCTCTGCTCCTTTTCTTTTTTTACTTTTTTTTTTTAAACTCCCATCCTGGGGTGGTATCTGGGGTGAAAGCCAGCACGGATTCCTTGCCTTGGTATGGACTCTAACTCCCAGACTCAGGGTGAATCCGAGACGACAAGGTGCAGGGCTGGATGAACACAGCAGGCCAAGCAGCATCATAGGAGCAGAGAGGCTGACGTTTCGGGCCTAGACCCTTCATCAGAGAAGC